CTTTGGTAGAGTAAGACCCTGTCTTTGAGGTAGCTCCTTATCATTAGATTAAGATACCGGGATGGAGAATTTATTCTCTAAGGCTTTGGTCATATCTTTCCACTGTGCACTGGTGAAGGCATTTCGAGCGTCCAATGTGGCTAGTAGGACTATTTGCTCTCAGCACTTTCAATTACATTCTCGACTGCTTCCAGTGCTGATCTACCGGGCATGAAACCGTATTGCTTTTTTGAGAGCCTTCCACCTCTAGCAATAGCTGCTTGCAATCTCCAGAGGCTTTTCAGCAGTGTCCAGCATGCAAAGAGGGCACTATGCCGATGGGCTATCTGGGTTCCCTTTCCCCTTACTAATTAGCCCTAGCTGCTGTCTTTTCCAGAATTTTCAGTAAATAAAATAAAATAAATTAAAATAATTTCTGGTTTTCAAAAAATGTTTCATATAAAATAAAATAAAATAATATTGAAATTCTGGTAACTTTGCAGCTAACCCGACTCACCTAGCAGCCACACATACGCACAAACGATAAAAAACTGATTACTCACATTCCTTAGTGTCGCACTCTGATGTCAGACACCTTCGCATAAATGGCATTGCAGGTGTGTCCTCACCAAATAATATACTTCTTATACAAATGTATGTCTGTGGGTATAAAAAGTAATAATTTTGAAAATAATAATATAAAATGAAAAATATTTTTTTGTTAGCTCTTGAGTAAAGATATGGAGGAGTTATTTATGCGTTTTTATTTGCGCATTGTGATATTTTGGCGCTGATAACAGTAATACGCGCGTACTATTTCTTGAGATTTTTGTAAAAGATGCCAAAATTAGCAAAACAAAAAATACAAAGTTGTTTCAAAAAAAAAAAAGATATGGTTTGTTGAGTTTTTTCTGGCTTTTGTGCTTGTTTCCATTATAAGGAAGGCAAGGAAAACAAGTTATGTAATGATTTTTATTTATGAAAATAATTCAAATATATATTAGAATGCACATTTACTTTTTTGTTATTTTATTTTAATCTTTTTTTAAAATGCACATGATCCACGTTTTGAAAAATAAATGTTAGCACTGCATTATCTACATATTGTTTTTACTTCCTCACATACACTGCATTATCACCTTTTGCTGGTTGTTGTCTGTAATAAATTTTGGTTTTAAGTAGCTAAGTTCCCTACCGAAAGTTTAAAATACTACTCAAACTACTACTAAGCACACGATACGGCAACCCATTAGTTTGTCAAATATCCGCTACTTCTTTCTGAATAACGGTAGTTTCCTTTTTCCTGTGCTGTGAGTCGATTGTATTTAGTAACTAGAAGTGAAAATTTTCGTACAAATATTAATTGCAATTTATTATTTTGTATTTATATATTCGAACCGGTAAATGTGTTTTAGTGAAGAAAGTAAATAAATTGTGTTGTGGGCCGCACTAAATCTTTTCTCATTCGTCCAATTTTTAAACGGCCGAGAGGCTCCATATTTGACCACATTATGCAACAATTGAATATCCTTTTCTATGGCTTTAATCATCTCGCGACTTTACATAACACCACAAAAAATAGTCCAGCGGGTCCAGTGATGTTAAAACGCATGATCTTGGAGACCACTTCTCATATAAATTGATTATTTCGTTTGCTATGACATAGAGCCGTCTTGTTGAAACCAAAAGACGTGAATATTAAGAGAAAAGACAGTAATAATGCCTCTATATCACCAAACAGTGATTTTTTGAGGATGTAACGGTGTCTCAATAATGACTCATGGATTATCTTCACTCCAAATGCCATACGAGGTGTGTGACTGATTATATTGTCGCGATTGTGGTAACCCTGCGACCTTTCTCCCGGCATCCTTCTCCTTCCCATTAATATATTTTCCATCACTCTAGCTTTTTTAGTTCGCCTGCTGTGTGGAGTTGAGTAAACGTGTGTTTGTGGGGCTGGTCACTAAAATAGAAAAACGAAATCAAGAGCAACGTGTCGCGATTAAATTTTTCGCCAAATCGGGGCGAAACAGCTTCGGGAACGTAAGCTAAAATTGTAAATGAGAGCAGGTTTTTTCAATACTAGCCGAAAACCAAACGCCAAAGCCCTTATTGGTTGTCTACGCACACCCACCGTCCGAAAAAAGCTCGCATGAGCAAGTGGAAGATGAAAACGAGAATTATTGCCTTTCATGATAGCCGTGGAATCGTCCACAAAGAATGTCTTCCACAGAGGCAAACAGTAAGTCTAGGCTACTATCGCCAAGTACTCGAAAGATTGCGAAAACGTGTCAACAGGGTGCGCCCAGACATCGAACGTACCGGAACCTTCATCACGACAACGTGCCGTGCCACACAGCCCTCATCATATCCCAGTATTAGGCCTGTGAAGAGGTCTCCGTGTTGCAATAATCGCCTTAATCGCCCGATATGTCACCCTGTGACTTTTTTTGTTGTCTAAATCCAAATCGATGGTCGAAGGAACCCATTTTGAATTGATTGAAGACATACAGGCGGCCGTCGCGCGAATACTCGCGTACATTCCAATCGAATCGTTCCAGAAATGTTATGAAGCATGGAAAACGCGATGGAAACGTTGTATAGCTGCCTAAAGGGACTACTTTGAAGAGGATGGTAGAGTTGTATAATAATTTTGAAATATACGGTTTTTATGGAGTCAGTCTCATTACTCAATTGCCACTCTTCGTAATTTCAACTTAAAGTCAGCTTTACGGCTGAACAAAAAATTTTTTTTTCCGAAAATCGGAAATGGCAAACCAAACAAAGTATAAAACCACTTACAGCTGTCTGAAAGAGTAACAACGAAAAAAAGTATGACCTCCGCTGTGGGTTAGGGTTTCACGAATTTACGCGCGGTAAGGCATGCCTGTCGTAAGAGACGACTAAAAATCTATATTTCCTGCGACAGTCGTGTCTTTACACCAGAGCGACCAGGATTTTTATCCGGCCCAAAAAATTACTTTGGGAAATATTTTTGCGATTACAACAACGACAATAACAACATGACCTCATTAAAAACCACACGCCTAAACACCCCTCGATGTTATGAAAGGAAATAAATCATGCAAAAATAATCGACTTTTGAATTAAAAACACACCTCACCCTTTATAGTTTGTATGTATCATTAGTTAATAATTTATTATGAGCTGTCAATCTTAAAATTCTAAAATACTATAATATTATAATTTTAAATCGTATCGCACTTATACAAATTAAATAATAATTATAATAATAATAATAATAATAATAATAATAATAATAATAATAATAATAATAATAATAATAATAATAATAAAAATATAATATACATATTTATAGAAATAATGAAAAGAGAATTCAAAATTGTTAAACAAATATTCATATTTATGACTTACATAATTATGCATGTAAGAAAATTTGTATTTATGTATGATAATTGTGTTCGTTTTTCAGTTTTCTTTTAAAAAATATATATAAACTTCATTTATATAACCAAGGAAAACAGCTATTGACACCAAATATTGCTCAATGATGCCTTCTACATATGCGCTGGTAACGTGAGAGTATAATCAATCAACAAATTGATACATAACATAATTATAAAACCATATACAAATGATTTGCAGAGTTAGAGTCAGTAGTAATAGAAGTAATAAGTTTGCAAGAATTATTGCTTGATAGTTTGTATTTAATTATTATTAGTTAATCATTATAGCTTAGTTTATAAATTATAATACAAAAGTGTTGCGTTTTCGCAAGTTACTCGCGTAGTAGATATAATAGTTAGAAATACAGTTATACATAAAAGTAAACGCTCTCGACGCAACCGCATACAAAACTTATGCAAAAAAATATTTGTTTGTATATAAATGTAACAATATTTAATTTAATTTAATTTAATTTAACTATAATTATAGCAGACGTTGATGTGTTAAAAGTTTTCGCATTAAAATTAGTTATAAACAACATTTAATTTCAATTTTATTAAATTTTATTTTCGTTATTTAAGTTTTAAATTTATATTTAATTATTCGTATATTTTTCTGATTTCTTTTAATATATATTTTTAATTAATTATAATTCTATTTTTATTTGTTTGCAGGCCTACAACCGCTCCACCATAGCCAATTTAAATATAAAGAAATTACATTTAATGCTGATACGCTCACTGCTTTGGTATGTTTTTCGTAAATTTTTCGTGTTTTCTTCACTTGAATAATATTTCATACAGATATTTTAAATTATTTTTCTTTTAAATTACAATGTTGCTTTAAATGAATTGTTTTTATGCAAGTAAATGTTATTATATATCTGAAAAAAAAATCATTTTACTGTATTACGTCGATCGATTAAGAGCCAGTGAGTAAAGAGTGAGTAAAGAGCAAATTAGAAATGGTAGAACTCAGCCCAAATGTCTGCTGACAACAGCGCATGTTGTGAGAGAATTAGTCAAACAGCGAGCATAAATTCTACCGAAAAGTCAAAAACAAAATATCTTACACGGAAACTGCAGAACAGGCGAAGCATATGCCACTGTTTCCAATGATTTCAGGTAAGCCCATTAATTTTCGCTAAACACGGAATTAAGATTCAATTGCTTCATCAAAGTCAGTTTTGAGTGGTGAAGAAGTATTTAAATATTATTGATTTTCAAATGCACTCGTTAAATTCAGAAGTGGAATACTTGCTCTTTGCAATCATAGCAATTCAAATCTCAACGCTTAAGAATTTTGATTTTATGTTTTCTAAGCGCTAGGTAGGCAAGTGGAAAAGTTTCATGTTTTTAGTATTATCCAAATCCATTAGTTTTCACCTTGTCGAAGTTGAATTCGTTTATTTAATTATATTTTGACTGCTCTGTTTTTTTACTTTTCGAAGTTTCTGCACTTGGCCATAATCGATTAAACACGTACCGCATTACTAATATTACCATATAAATTTGGTTTGTAATTGTATGCGAAAAACTTTCAATTCTTTTGGTTCAATAATGGAAATCTATATTTTAGTTTTTGCTTGGTTTTTTTTCGTAAATATGATCGCTTTTAATTTTCAATAATTTAGTAAGTAGCTATTTAACGCTTGTGAATACCGCTATCGTGTGAATTCACAGAAAACCGTTATAAGTTTTGCAAACTACATATAAATGTTATTATATTATGGTATGTCATTTTATGTATGCATTTATATGAATTCTCTTATACCCAAGTATTTTTTGAAAACTTCTTTAAGTTAATCGTTGTTGCTCACTGTTGGTCTATATACATATATATATAGATATATATATTTTAAATATTTGTTATATGTACTCGTATTTGTGTGATGCGTTTTTTGTTGAAAAAATTTGTCCGAAATTTGCGATAATTTTTTTTTTCGTGCTTCTACTGTTTGCACCGTGGATGTTAATACTAGTTTTTCTAATTCAGAGTGAACAGCTCGAAACTAATTAAATTCGTCTGCGGTAGAGCTACACATTTGTGTCTATCATTTAGTGATTGAGTGTTTAAGATTTGAACCATGAGGTCTGTTCTCCAAATAAATGTTGTAGTTATATGTTGTGCGGGTTCTACGAAATTTACTTGGGTACTTTGTGCCATTTCTAAAATAATTCCAGATATAAATTGTTTCAAAAAGCTTCCTTCCAGCTTTTCTCTTCTATTCTTGCACTTTCACACCTGTTTTTGTTGGCGAAAAATAAACAACATTTTCTCCCATTTAAACATCAATAACACTATCGTTCTTCTTCATCTCCATTAAATGTGTCTGTTTGAGTTTTTCTTGCATTTGCGTAAGCATATCTTGCATGCGTCGTATCTCTTCGTCTTTCTGCAGCAGCAGTCGATCTGTCTCCGAAATGGCCGCATCAAAACCATTCGTCGAACTAATCGAATCACGCTTCAATTTGCCACGCTCACGGAGCGCATGTTGTGATATTTGTGAAATACACTGTGCACGGAAATTCTCATAATGCACATCCTGTGTGGTGTCCTTTAGATCTTGCATATGTGTGGAGATGAGAAATGTGCGTAGCTTGTTGAAATCACTATGGTCGGGATCTTCAACGTCTACCACACCCCACGGGTATTGGCGACCGCGCACTTTTTTACCCGCCACCTCTAATATTGTATTACTACCGACTACAGCAAATGGTATTGAAGCTTTCAGATCGCGATCCTGCTGTTTGAAGTCATCATCTTCATCCGAATCGCATTCCGGAAATTGGTATAATTGTATTTTGTTATCTTCCAAATCCTGGAGAATGCGTTCTTTAAGTTTGCGCACCTCGTTTTTAGTCAGACAATCAGCCTTGGCGATAACGAGCACAATGTTGACTTTGCGATGTAGACGTCGGATTAAATCGAGATCCATTTGACGTAGACTGTAAGTGTACGAATAGAAAGAAAATGAAATAGATTACAAAATTATATAAAACCAAATTAACTCACCTATGACCCCATGGCGGCACAAAGTACAAACAACAATGTACACGATTATCCTGTATGTTGCGTCGATTTAGACCGCTCTCGTCTGTGAAATATTGACGAAACTGCAGAAGAAAAGTCATTTAGGCCACTTTGCAACACTATACTAATCATTTTGCTCTCTCAATTACCTGTTCGTCGATGTAAGCTGTACACACGCGCCAACTATCCTCACAATTAATGCCATCGCCGAAACCCGGCGTATCTACCACCGTCAGGCGCAAACGTACACCTCGCTCTTCTATATCCATTGTTTTCTTTTCCACACGCGTCGTTTTCTCAATTCGCTCTTCAACATTTGGTATTACACGATTCTTGTATAGATCACCCAAAAAGAGACTATTTATGAGTGTTGACTTGCCAAGTCCCGACTCACCTACAACCATGAGCGTGAATTCGAAGCCACGTTTTACTGATTTCCGATGCACTTGCTCGGGTAATGTGGCAAAGCCGATGTAGTCGCGATCTTTATCGAACGAGGGCGTTTTAGCTGGAAATAGAGAGAAGTCGAAGATTTTCAATTAGTTTAAGTCATATCATACTAAGGGAGCGGATGTGAATTTAAACTGCAATTAGTGGCTAGTAATTAGTTAGAGTGATTTACGCTTCATAAAGTCTTTTATATAGAGAGAACCTTTTCACGTATTTGATCTGTCATTTCTGACCGTTAAAAATAAAATTAAAAAAAATCTTCTCAAATCACAATTTCAATACCTCGTTAAGAATTTCCAAAATCAATATAGCACAGTGATCTCTGAGAACATATATTTCTAAATGCCAGATATACTCAGAGAGAGAGAGAAAGAAAGAAAGCAGCAGGACACTGAGCTACAACTTTGATTTTAATTTAATAACAATGCGTGTTCCGTAAAACCGTTTGAAGTTCACGCTCTGCAAAATATTATCTGATTGGGATTAACTCGGAAATTGAACTATCGTTATCGAAGAATCCGCAAACCACAACCTACCCCAATTGTCCCTTAAATGGTCGTGTTGTTTGAAGGACTAAAGCTTAACCCGTATTTATTATGCGCTAAATCCCCGAAGAGCCCCGTGAGAAAAGGTTCTATATACAAACCCTTCTTTAATTTAAACTTGGCTTAGACAGCATGAAAAGCAGCTGACTCTACGACGAAATGTGTTGATTTTGTACACCCGCAAAGTTTATACGACTATGCAAAGTGCGCCTGAGCAACAGCTTCATCAATATCGACAAGGACTTCTCCGAGTTTTTTAATACCAAACGGAGTTGCAAGCAAGGTGACTAATTATCGTGAGATTTCTTTGGCCTATTTCTTCAGAAAATAATAAAAGCTGAAGAACTGAATAGATTAGGTACAACCTTCATTGAAACCAGACAACTGCAGACGAACGGTGATGACATTAATATGATCGGCCTCAATAACCGTTGCCTTAATTCAGCTTTCTGCGGACTGGATATGGAAATATCTGGTCGCCAAGCAAATAGTCAGGGCATTCGCCTGTTGTTTCTGTTGATAGTAATGGCTTTGAAGTTCTTTATTATATAATTTCGGTCAGAAAACATCATCACCAGCAACTGATATGCTAACCTTGAAACCAATGCAGGATCACTGCAACTTCAGAAGAAGTAAAGGAAAGGGTGCAAGAAGTTTTCAAGAGAAAGGAAAGGGAAATTCCCATCACATACTAAATGACAGAACGATGAGTTGTATAAAGAGACAGGGACTAGGTCCTGTCATTTTGATGAAGGAAAAAACTCTTGACGTTGGAAGCAGATGAAGTGGAAGCAGGTGAGGAAGAATCTGGCTTCACTCTGTCTTTCCATTTGGAACGGTGAAGTGCATCAACCAAGGTAAAGAAAGAGCTTCATTTGCTATAATTTCATTGCTTTCTTTCGTATATTTGTTAAAACACATATACATAAGCACGTAGAATTAAACAGACTGGTCTTAAAAATAAGAAATTCTGAGTCCATATTATGTTTTTTTCGATTCCACCCAACCAAAATTAATAAAATATCCTTAAAATGCCGAGCATTCACAACATACAACGACCGCGCCCCATTACTGTCTTTGTTTGCCTAATTGACGGCTCTTTGAAAATAAGCACACACAAACGCACTCTCCATTTTGTTCTGCTTTGTTCTTGTAAAAAAGCGCTAATTAGTTGCATGCAACAAATGCAGTTGTCAGCAATAATAAAAAAAATATACGCATAGCAATGCGACACATAGGCATTTTGTCCACACGCTGTTGTTACAATAACAAACAGCCTCGACACTAATTTGGCTGAAAAAAAGCAAGAAAATGAAAATAAAAATAAAATAGATATAAAAGTATATATATAAAAAATATTCAGTATGCAAATAGCTGCTATCTGTATGTTGATTTATATCTATTATATATTTATGTGTTTGTAAGCATATGAGAATGCCTTTCGAGCACTAGAAGGAGGTTAAGTGCAGGAAGTGTGTATTTTCCTTCAAAACTTTTTCGACTCGCAACGAATATCGTTAGTAGAATATTCATATTGTAGTTATTGTATGTAAAAAACTTGTATATTTGCATATATGTCAAAGTATATTTTGTATTTTGTGGTGGGTGCAGCGCGCCTCAAAGTATGTTACACAATTTGGCGACAGTGTGCTGCTTTGCCTGAGCACACACACACACACATACGCACACCCATAATCATTAGGACATACTCATACACAAAAGCGTCTTTTTCACTGCTTTCGAGTGCCAATAAAGCCAAAAATAAATATACGATAACTACAAAACCAACAACAATAAAAGCACTTACACATTGCTTAGCTTAGAATATGTGCACTTCTTTTGGGTTTTTATGTTTACACAAAAAGCGAAAAAATATAAATATTTTGTTTGCTGAATGTCTGATTGAACTCGCGTTTTGTAGATATTTGCTTGCTGGCAGCTATTTTTTCGCTTTCAAATTTTCGGGCGTGTTACTACCCGCTGTGTGTATCCCGACAAGGAGGTCCTACGCACGAAAAGGAATTTCTACTTTTCTTTGCTTACTAAAAATTACAATTTTTATTTTATTTATTTTCATATTCTTGTGTAAATTATTGTCCTGTGTTATTTTGCACTTTCTTTCATCGCTTGTGTAATAAGCGTTTATTCATAATTATTTTTCTATATTTGTTCGTAATTATTATTGTGCGACTCTATCGCCGTGTCAATGTACTCGCTACGCAAACACGCTTTCTGCAGTAAGCTACACGTATTTGTTGCTTTCGTCGTATCGCGATTCTATTGAACACTGCTTTATCAGGCTATTTATGACTGCGCCTTCACTTGCAACTCCTTTAATGGCGCTTCTGAGCTTAAGGAAAGTTGTGAGTTAATATATGGTCACATTCAGCAATTAGATTTTAATTATTTTAAATAATTAATTTTTGAATTTCACTGCTTTCTGGTATTTAACTGTTAAATATGAAATTGACACAACTTTTCTCTCTTTTTAAATTGGTTCAGTTTTAATATCTATTTCTCACAATTTCCCAACCAGTTCGCCTTTCTTGCTTTCTTTCTTTGCGGGTAATGTGTTATGATTCGCTTCTTGGTTTGTTATCATCATTGTTATGGAGTTTTAGCGCATGCGCTTATTTTCTTTATTTACTTTCTTCCGTTGTACTCCTTGAATGGACACACTCGGATTTTTAGGCAAATAAATTTTGCAAACGAATTTTTTAACCGTTACAAAGTAGTTAAGAAATACCTGAAAATAGTATTTTCCACTTAAGAAAATTTCTAAAATCAGAATTTTAGTTTATTTATTTCATATGTTCTATTGTAACCTATAATTATTTTATTTTATTTTATTTTATTTTATTTTTTTTATTTTATTTTTTTTATTTTATTTTATTTTATTTTATTTTATTTTATTTTATTTTATTTTATTTTATTTTATTTTATTTTATTTTATTTTATTTTATTTTATTTTATTTTATTTCATTTCATTTTGTTTCATTTCATTTTATTTTATTTTGTTTTATTTTATTTTGTTTTATTTTACTTTATTTTATTTTTATTTTAGTTTAATTTTAATTTTAGTTTATTTACTTAAATTTAATTTATTTATTTCACTTTAATTCATATGAAAAATTAATTCATATGAAATATAAAATTTTATTTATTTCAATATATTTAATTTAGTCTAGTCTTTTGATTTTAAATTAATTCTTTTTAATTAAATTTTATTTAAGTTTACTTTGTTTTATTAAATTATATTTGATTTTATTTTATATTAATTTATTCAATTCTTTTATTTTTTTAATTTATTTTATATTATTTTTCATTTATTTGTTTTTTGTTATCTTTATATATTATTATTATTCGACTCTTATGCAACCCCCCACCAAGCAAATTTAGATGGTCACCCTTTTAAATTGATAGGAAAAGAGTTCTCCCTCTCACTCTGAATGTTATCTAGACCATATCCTTGTTATGAGAGAGCAATAGAGATGAGAACTACAGGAATGGTCGATTGTCGATTTATTTAAGTGTCTGTTTTAATCAAATGTTATTCGATATTTTTGGGATTTTCAGCTTTAACTTTTACAAACAATGCATTTTCTACTTTTACCATTTCTTGCATATCCTGGCATTTGCTAATTTCATGTGCAAATTTTTGTGCGTAAATTTCTGTACTTTGTTAGGGGTGAGTTAAGCAATTGCAGTACAATGGTTACTGTTATTCGTTTATTTAATTTAAATGGGGTTGACATTAGGGATACACATGTTTACATAAATGAAAATACTCTTAAATACATATATATCGTAGCGCAAATGTATGTAAGTCACGTTTTGCACAAGAGGGTGTTATTCTATTACTTTGCATTTAATTACCAGGCAGACAGACAATCTGAATGGGGTTAAATGTTTAGTTGTGGAGTCTCGGTGAGTTACCTCTTGGCTGCAGCAGGAAGAGAAGACATAGAGATTAACAGAGTTGAAAGCAAAAAAGGACCTGAACTAAATGTAAAAATCTAAGTGCAGCGTTTGAAAAGGATTGTCTTAAAAAATAGTAATCATTGCATTTTTTGATAACTATGAAGCGTTTGGTTAAAAAAAAATTGTTTGGAGAGACATGTTTTTTTTTTTTCAAACATTTGTTTCGTGGATTTCCCGGCTCGTCTCGTCATCTATGAAATAGATCACTCAGTCCAACTTGGACATTCCTTTGAAATTTTAACTGATTTTGGAAAAAATATTTTAATTCTAGCGAACCTCTTTTATTAAAATATATCTCAGATGCATAGACTACAAACAAATTTACAAGCACTTGGCAGCTTTTCAACGCCGTCAAGCGCAAATACACAAACACACTTCTCAACAGCGAGTGGAATAAGCCTCCAAATGACATTAAGTAAATTGAGATGCAAAGTAAAGAAGAAAAAAAAGAAGAAATTTAAAAGTTGAAGGTAGAAAAGCAACTCTAACAGCATTGTCGGATAACAACACTGCTTGAGTGAGCGTCATACGAGCAACCACAGAGTCTATGCTGCGAGCGTGGGTGTGAAGGTTGCGGCATTATACTGTACTACAGGCTGAGTGTGAGTGTGACTTTTCCTCTGCCAAGCAAGGCATTAACACTCCCACCAAGTGCACGTGGGTAGTAGAAGAGCAGCGAAGTTCATTTAGCGGAAATCTCATATTTTCCAGCCGGGCGTACTGCAATATGACAGCGACCAACAACAACTAAGTAGAAAGCAGCTGAGCTCAAATTACTCAATATTAAATTTACAATTTTATTTTTATTATTATTCCTTGTTCATTTTCTATTTCTCGATCTTCACTACTTTTCTTGGAGCTAGCTACGTTCTCTTATTATTTTTATTTTTTTTTTTATTTTATTATTAATAACGATTAACCTACATTCAAAGGCAAAGGCAGCACAATAAAGCAACAACAATATTGTCGCTCATATTACATTGAATCAAAGTGTTGATTGAATTTAATACCGTTACTTACAACATTTCACATATGCTTCTTCATGCTTGTGCCTTGGAAAAAATTGTACCAACGCAAATTCCTAACTTTTCGAAATTGTATGGAATTTAAACGAGACGAAATAATTGTGCATAAATAATTTCAATAAATAAGCAAAATTAATTAAATAAAAATTAAATTGCATAAAATCATAACATATTAAATAAACCAACACAATGGGAAATGAAATATAAAACAAAAGAAAATAAAATATATTAAACTATAATAAAATAACGTAAAATTGTCAAAAAAAAAACATATAATAAAAATACTAATATAGACTAAAATGAAAGAGATTAAAATAGAATAAAACAAATGCAAACAAATAAAATTAAATCACATAAAATAAATTAGAATAAACTAAAATAAAAAAAATAAAATAAATTGAAATAAAATAAAATAAAATAAAATAAAATAAAATAAAATAAAATAAAATAAAATAAAATAAAATAAAATAAAATAAAATAAAATAAAATAGAATAAAATAAAATAAAATAAAATAAAATAAAATAAAATAAAATAAAATAAGATAAAACAAAATAAAATAAAATAAAACAAACTTACTAAAAATAACATAAAATAGCATTAAAGATAATAAAACCAAAATAAAAGAAATAAAATAAAATGAAAAAGTATAAAAAATGAAAACTAATAAATACGCAATAAATGATAGAAAATAAATAAAAAATTTATATTAACTTAAATTACACAGAATAAATTAAAAACAAATAGAATAAATTGAAAAATATAAATAAATTAAAATAAAATTAAGTTAAACTAATATAAAATAAAAACAAAATTAGAAAAACAAAAGTAAAATAAAATGAAATACAAAAAAAATATAATAAAAATAAAACACAAAAAAAATAATATGGCATAAAGTAAAATAAAAATTAAATATAATAGCAAATTAAATAAATGAAATAAAAAGGTAAGCAAAATAAAATAGATGGAAATAAAATTATCATTTCGAAAATGCATATCATCGTCATTAAAAGCAAAAATGTACACAGCTCTTTTAAAAAAGAAAAGCGGTAAAAAAAAAGCGACGAGAACAAGGCACGTACATTTGATAGCTTTGCTCTAGGGTGTAATAATTCACAGTAATTTAATATAAGGATAACACTATACGAGTACGTACCTTTTAGTAAAGGGTTCAGAAAGTACACCACATACATATGAATATCTAACACTTTCTTCACCTACCTGCCCCATGTGAGGTCAACAGCCACCAAACAAGCGTACGAGACCACAACGACGTGAAAATAGCCAAACACTCACTCATTCACACTCACCAGCCAAGTGCCCGCCAACCATCACCTTCTATACAGCAAAGCCACTACTCAGTCAGTCAGTCAGACGCATAAGAGCGTTTTAAAATGCTTTTTTGTACCTTACTCTGTTCAAGTGTTTCGTGCCTCCTTTCGTGAGTGCAAAGGCACGCAATTCTAAGTGGCATGACTTTATAAACACAATACATACATATACTCGTATGTATGCATATGTACAACAACAGCAACCAGAAACATTGTGAAAGGGTTAAATAATTTCTAAAGCAAGTATTTGATGTAAAATGGAATTTCGCTGTGAATTTCTTTTTTGGGGTGAAATTCCCTCAAGAAATTCCCTCAAGCATATATCAGCCTATATTCAATATATTTATATGTAAATTACAGTACATTTGTGCATATGCTTGCATTTTTTTTTTTTTTGCATTAAATTCTATAAACAATCATGTACTCATATATGTGAGTGGAAAGGGCTAAAAGTATTTGCATTCACAAAAAAAAAACTCAACGCAAAAATCGATTTTTAGACTCTGTGACGTAAAGCACATGAGTAAATTCCATTGTTTTAATTTTTTAGTGAAAATATTCGAGGAATTTTCAGCCAAATTCATATATGCTTCTCACAAGAATTTTTTGCTTCGCAGTAAGAAGTATGTGCTTTTTAGCAGTTATGTATAGGTATGTGTTAGATCCCCTGCAGGAAGAGATACGTCATGGTGATACGTGCTTGAGCTCAAAATTTGATTACTTACTTGCTTTGAGTATCGGAAGGGGGGTAAACAGTCGGCTGGAGCCTTTACAAGTGGTTAGGTGGTTGTTCGATGGTATAAGTCTAATTTTTGGCCCCAAAATCGCTTACAATGACAGCCTCATGAGATAGGGTCTTGCCGTGTGGCAAAATCCATGAGTCTTTGACTTATGATAGGGATTCACATGTGTACCAGTTTCGATGCAGTTTGTAGCTGTCTCTCCTAAGTAACTAGGCTCGTAAGACCATATTTAATCACCTCCATGGATAGTTTTATCAAACCCAAATGCATTGACTTGTGAGACGCTAAATATTCATGGACGATTTCTCTCAAAACTGAGGCATGACGAAGGTAACATCACCTCGACCGCTTTTAAATTCTCGACTCTACACACTCGGCACTTA